TTGTTGTTTTGGCGGGTCCGGGCTGGGGATTCGAACCCGCCACCTTAGGTGTATGTGGCTGGCGCCTTAGCCAGTTGAGCTATAGGCGCCGAGCCATTCACTGAGATTTCTGCATCAGTCACTTATTTGGGGTCAAAAGTAGTAAAGATGCAGCCAATATAAGTTCAAAACATAGGAGGAAGGGAAAAGGGAAGAGAAAGGAAGATTTGTCTGGTTATAACACGCAAGGTAGTTTATTCCAGCACTTGTTTCCAAACTAGAAGTGGGAACAATTTTCAAAAACAAACTCAAAGCTCAGCGCCTGTGCCTCAAGTGGCTAAGGCGCCAGCCACATACACCTGAGCTGGCGAGTTCGAATCCAGCCCGAGCCCACCAAACAATGATGGCTGCAACAAAAGAATAGCCAGGCGTTGTTGCAGGCGCCTGTAATCCCAGCTCCTTGGAAGGCGGAGGCAGGAGACTTGCTTGAGCCCAGGAGTTGGAGGTTGCTGTGAGCTGTGATGCCATGTCATTCTACCTAGGGCAACAGCTTGAGGCTCTGTCTCAAAAACAAAAAAAAAACAAACAAACTCCAGGACTGGGTGTGATAGCTCATGCCTGTAATCTCATCACTCTGGGAGGCTGAGGTAGGAAGACTGCCTGAGCTTGCAAGTTCAAGACCAGCAAGAGCAAGATCCCATCTCTAAAAATAGCTGGATGTTGTGGCAGGCACCTGTAGACCCAGCTACTACTTGGGAGGCTAAGACAAGAGAATCACTTGAGCCCAAGAGTTTGAGGTTGCTGTGAGCTATGATGCCAGGGCACTCTCCTGAGGGCGACGAAAGCGAGATTCTGTCTCAAAAAAACAAAAAAACAAACTCCAGGATACTTCCCAAAACTACTGAATTGTAATCTCACCTTCCAAAAGTACAACCATATTATATCAACTATTTGAATATGTACTTCTCTCACTTAACATTACAAACATCTTTGTGAAATGATACATATAACAAACAATCTACACTTTCTCTGTTAACAGCTCTATAACTTCAGTCCCCACCCCCAATACTGGTCCAATCTGTGGCCTGTTAGGAACCAGCTCAAAAGCAGGGCTTGCCTTTTCCATTCCATGTTAAGTTATATGAAATAGCACATTTTCTTCCCTGTTAAGACTGGCAAACATGGAAGAAAATAACCTGCTAACTAAAAATACTCAGACTAGGCTCTTATGTGATTGAGAAATAAAATGTGATAGTCAGTGAAATTCTGGGGTTTATTACAATAACACAGCATGAGTAAAAAAGGATTATGCAAATAGAGAACCCAGTCTAATGACAGGAGAAACAAAAAATTAACTTTAGCATAAAGGTTGCTGAGCAAAAATGAAAGATTCTGACAAATGTATTTTAATGAATCACATACCTCATACTCTGATCCAAAGCCAGCATAACCACAGAAACGTCCAGAAAGTCTCCAGAGATAAGGTATTCCTCCAAAGAGGAGAATAAGCTATAAAACAAAGTATACTTTAGTCACTTTTATTTTCATTTATTTATTTATTTATTTATTTTTGAGACAGAGTCTCAAGTTGTCGCCCTTGGTAGAGTGCAGTGGTGTCACAGCTCACAGTAACCTCAAACTCTTGGGCTTAAGCAATTCTCTTGACTCAGCCTCCCAAGTAACTGGGACTACAGGTGCTCACCACAATGCCCAGCTATATTTTTATTGCAGCTGTCATTGTTGATTTGGGCTGGCTCAGGCTAGTTTCCAACTCACCAGCCTCGATGTATGTGGCTGGCACCATACCCACTGAGCAACAGGCACCGCCACTTTGGTCACTTTTAAATAGTACTAGAAACTGTCATATGAGAAAATATGCTATAAAGAAAAAAGGAGGCCGAGTGTGGTGGCTCATGCCTGTAATCCTAGCACTCTGGGAGGCTAAGGTGGGTGGAGAGTTCAAGACCACCCTGAGCAAGAGTGAGACCCTGTCTCTAAAACACTGCTGGGCACTGTGGCAGGCACCTGTATTCCCAGGTACTCAGGAGGCTGAGGCAAGAGGATCACGTGAGCCCAAGAGTTTGAGATTGCTGTGAGCTATGATTTTACCGCACTCTACAGAGGTAAACTGTCTCAAAACAAACAAAAAAGCTTAGAAAGGATGGGCAGCACCTGTAGTTCAAAGGAGTAGTGTGCCGGAACCATATGCCAGAAGTGGCGGGTTCAAACCCAGCCCTGGCCAAAAAAAAAAAGAAAAAGTAAAGTTAAACAACTTGTCCATTAGCTACTTGGGAGACTGAGGCAAAAGAATTCCTTAAGCCCAAGAGTTTGAGGTTTGCTGTGAGCTGTGACGCCATCGCATTCTACCAAGGGTGACATAGTAAGACTATCTAAAAAAAGAAAAAACAAACAAAAAAAGGGAGGCGCCTGTGGCTCAGTAGGGCGACGGCCCCATATACTGAGGTGGTGGGTTCAAACCTGGCCCGGGACAAACTGTAACAAAAAATAGCCAGGCACTGTGGCGGGTGCCTGTGGTCCCAGCTACTCAGGAGGCTGAGGCAAGAGAATCGCCTAAGCCCAGGAGTTGAAGGTTGCTATGAGCTGTGATGCCACAGCACTCTACCCAGGGGCACAGCTTGAGGCTCTGTCTCAAAAAAAAAAAAAAAAAGACAGAAAGTGGAGAGTCACATCCACTTACAAAACTGGGGGACAGAATGCTGTAAATCTGAGTCTGGAAAAGATGAGGCAGAAGTCAGGGTTTCTAGAGTAGGCCCCTCCTTCAGCACCCTTTGTCTACGGCAGATAAAGTGATCACAGACATTGATCAAATCACCAGGACATTAGGAACCAAGAAGCACCTCAAATTTTTAAGAAATTCTACTTCTAAAAATAAATACTAGGTTTCTGGAATGCATTTTGTCAAGAACATCAATATATTTTATTTTCTCTATATAGGAGCTCATAATCACAATGCTTAATCACATTCCTTGGTTAGAAGCACAAGATCTGGGCGGTGCCTGTGGCTCAGTGAGTAGGGCGCCGGCTCCATATACTGAGGGTGGTGGGTTCAAACCTGGCCCCAGCCAAACTGCAACAAAACAAAAATAGCCAGGCATTGTGGTGAGGGCCTGTAGTACCAGTTACTCGGGAGGCTGAGGCAACAGCATCGCCTCAGCCCAAGAGCTGGAGGTTGCTGTGAGCTGTGATGCCACAGTACTCTACCAAGAATAACAAAGTAAGACTCTGTCTTTAAAAAAAAAAAAAAAAAAAAAGAAGAAGCACAAGATCCCCATAACTTCCCTTTTTTTGAAACAAGAGTCTCATTTTATTGCCCAGGCTACAGTGCTGCAATTATCGGCATAGCTCACACAGCAACCTCAAATTCATGAATTTAAGCAAGCCTCTTTCCTCTGCCTCCCAAGTAGCTGGGCATATAAGCACCCACCACATGCCCAGGTAATTTTTCCTTTTTTATTTCTTTTTATTTTTTATTTTTTATTTCTTTTGAGACAGAGTCTCGAGCTGTCACCCTGGGTAGAGTGCATGGTTCTCACAGCTCATAGCAACCTCAAACTCTTGGGCTTAAGTGATTCTCTTGCTTCAGCCTCCCAAGTAGCTGGGACTACAGGCGACTGCCACAACACCCGGCTATTTTTGGTTGTAGTTGTCATTGTTTGGCAGGCCCAGGCCGGATTCGAACCCGCCAGCTCCGGAATATGTGGCTGGTGCCCTAGCCACTAAGCTATAGGTGCTGAGCCACTTTTTCTGCTTTTAGTAGAAATGAAGTCTCACTTTGCTCAGGCTGGTCTCGAACTCCTGATCTCAAGTGATCCCTCTACCTCAGCCTCCTACCTCATGCCAACGCTTTCAATAAGATTTAATGATTGCAACAGAAATAATTTCAGAGCTTCAACTTATGCTATTTTACTAGAGTCTTGAAAAGCAGGCAGGGCAGGGAGTGTAGTCATTTTTATTTCATAGACAAGACAACTGAATTAAAATAACTTGCCCAAAGAAACCCAATGACTAAGTAACAGCTATGTATTGAACACTATTCTAAGTGCTTCATTTATATTGCCTTGCTACTTAGTCCTTGTCACAAACCATGAGGTATGATTTGATATCTACCCATTCCGCATTTTATTTATTTTTATTTATTTATTTTTATTTTTTTTGCAATTTTTGGCCAGGGCTGGGTTTGAACCCGCCACCTCCAGCATATGGGGCTGGCACCCTACTCCCTTGAGCCACAGGTGCCGTCCTATTTATTTTTTTTGAGAGAGAGTCTCACTTGTCGCTCTCAGTAGAGTGCCTCAGAAGAGCAGACTTGAAACCCAGTTCTCTCCCTTATTAGCATGCCCCCAACCATTAAATGACAAGCCCTTTAACTTCTTTGAGCCTTTTTTCCTTATCCTTTTATGGATAATAATTCCCATCCTTTCCACTTCATTGTTGTAAACATCAAACAATATAAAAACTTCGTATAAATGCTCGCTTCAGCAGCGCATATACTAAAAAATTTCGGGGCGGCGCCTATGACTCAAGGAGTGGAGTGCCAGCCCCATATGCCGGAGGTGGCAGGTTCAGACCCAGCCCTGGCCAAAAACTGCAAAAAAAAAAACAAAACCCCACAAAAACTTTGTATAAAGTAAAAAGCACGATGACTATTAACTATTACTATTCGCAGCCTTAGCCCATCAGTACTTCTTCTAATTTGAGCCCCAAAAAAGAATTATGGAGCTCATCTTATATATATATTCTCCTTATCTTCTCCTAGAACAAACTGAGCCATTCCCATAGTCCCCTATCATAATTACCAAGTTATTGCCCATGTTTATTGGAACTATTTACTAGTGACAACCAAGGAGATTAAAGATGCTTTTCCGATCTTGTTCTCATAATCCTATAGGGCTAAACCACAGAACATTCAAGGAGAAAACATCATAAAGGAAAAAGGATAGCATCCCTCTCTGTGAAGGCTGATTTCCTACGTAAGCCCTGTTTATAATAGAAGAAATGCTCGGGCAAATTAATTAAAGCCAAATATAATCCTCAATAATGCTTCCTTTCTTGGCTTGATTGGATGGAATCAAGTTTTAATACCAATTATCTTCAATATTTCAATAACTAAACCAGGCTTGGATTAGTAAAAATATAACAAGTAAATACTGAAAAGACTAACTTTTAACAATAGCTGTGTATCTCAAAAAAACAATGTGATTTTACTTTCCAAATAATTGATTTTTCTTTTTTCAAGACAGGGTCTCAAACTGTCGCCCTGCGTAGAGTGCCCTGGAGTCACAGCTCACAGCAACCTCCAACTCTTGGGCTTAAGTGATTCTCTTGCCTCAGCCTCCCAAGTAGATGAGACTACAGGCACCTGCCACAATGCCCAGCTATTTTTTGTTGTAGTTGTCATTGTTGTTTAGCTGGCCCAGGTCAGGGCTGAACTTGCCAGCCTTGGTGTATGTGGCTATATACATCCTATCCACTGAGCTACAGGAGCTGCCAAATATAATTAATTTTTCTAAATACCAATATTTTAATTCTTCAGAAACTACAATTTTATAATACCTTGAAAAACTTCAATCTAACTACACTAGTCTCATTGTTCCACATTTGTCAAGGAACATTTTGTGACCAGTTAGACAATTTTGTCATCATTTTAAAGAAAAGTTACATTATATCTGAGTCTCTCATGATGGCACCAAAAAAAAAAAAAGGCTACACCAAGCCAGTTTCTTTTCTACAACTCCTGAAACATTGTAGCTCATCACCATTATTTTCTAGATTGTGTATTTTTTTTCTTTAATTATGGCTGTAGAGATCACAATTATTTTCCTTCTTTTTTTTTTTTGAGACAGAGCCTCAAGCTGTCCCCCTGGGTAGAGTGCCATGGCATCACGCTCACAGCAACCTCCAACTCCTGGGCTCAAGCGAGTCTCCTGCCTCAGCCTCCCAAGTAGCTGGGACCACAGGCGCGTGCCACAATGCCCAGCTATTTTTTGGTTTCAGCCGTCATTGGTGTTTGGCGGACCTGGGCTGGATTCAAACCTACCACCTTAGGTGTATGTGGCTGGCGCCTTAGCTGCTTGAGCCACAGGTGCCAAGCCTCACAATTATTTTCAACTTGAGAATCTTTTCTTAGGGGTACTGGTGGGTCTAAAAGAGTCCTAGAGAGATACGATGGTGAGGAAGAGAGTGAAAAGTAGTATTAGCCAATACTATGGAGCACTTATAATGAACAATGTGCTGTTTTAAACATCTTACATATTAACTCATTTAATCCTCTCAATAACACCATGAATAAGGAACTATTCATTAGTGTTGAGTCACTTGCAGTCATAAAGCTGGTGTAGTATAGATGAGATCTAAAGTCAAGCTGGTAGAGCTTAGCGTCTGCTCATACCCTCTGCACCATGCACTTTCAATTGTTTGGGCGAGTAGAAAAAAAATCTTACTCTTATTATGTACAAAGCACAGTTACATATAGTACTGAAATAGATATGTATTTGTGGTGTTAAACTTTCATGGAAGATGAGATTAGGAAAAAATGGTTGCAAGAGCAGGGGGAGGAGAAACAAAAAAGATTAAAAAATATTTCTCTACACTATATGGCCTTTCTTCTTTCAGCATAGAGGTAAGACTAGCCCTTTGTTTTGCTACGTAAAAATGGCCTGGCATTCATTGTTTCGTTCAATAAACTGGAATCATATATGTGGCGCCTATGGCTCAGTGGGTAAGGCGCTGGCTCCATATACTGAGGGTGGCAGGTTCAAACCCGGCCCAGGCCAAACTGCAACAAAAAATAGCCAGGCGTTGTGGCGGATGCCTGTAGTCCCAGCTAATTGGGAGGCTAAGGCAAGAGAATTGTCTAAGCCCAGGAGTTGGAGGTTGCTGTGAGCTGTAACACCATGGCACTCTACTGAGGGTGACAAAGTGAGACTCTACCTCTAACAAAAAAAAACAAAAAAACAAAAAAACTGGAATTATATGCCAAGCATTAAATATAAAATGATGAACAAGGCTGGGCACAGTGGCTCATGCCTGTAATTCTAGCACTCTGGGAGGGCAAAGCAGGAGGGTCTCTTGCACTCAGGAGTTTGAGGTTGCTGTGAGACCAGCCCAAGCAAAACCAAGCCCCTGCCTCTATTAAAAATAGAACAAGTTAGTTGAGCATGGCATCACATGCCTGTAATCCCAGCTACTCTGGAGGCTGAGGCAAGAGGATAGCTTGTGCACAGGAGTTTGGGGTTGCTGTGAGCTAGGCTGAAGCCACATACTCTAACCTGGGCAAAAGAGCAAGACTATCTCAAAAAAATAATAAAATAAAATAATGAAGAAGATCTTTTTTATTTTTTCTCTTAAGGACAGAGTCTCACTTTGTCATCTTGGGTAGATGCTGTGGCGTCACAGCTGACAGGAACCTCCAGCTCTTGGGCTTAGGCGATTCTCTTGCCTCAGCCTCCTGAGTAGCTGGGACTGCAGGCGTCCACCACAACACCTGCACAGCTATTTTTTTGTTGCAGTTTGGCCGGGGCCAGGTTCAAACCTGCCACCCTCAGTGTATGGGGCTGGCACCCTACCCACTGAGCCACTCCCGCCCAAGTGCCCTTTCTTTAATAGCAACGAGTCTGCCAAATAAACAGGCAAATTAAACACAATGTGATAAATACTCTGACAGGAATAATAAGATACTTCCTTATCCACACTTGACAGGCAAGGAGAATTTCAAATGGTTGCTTAGAAGAGGTGACATCTCAGCTGGATTTTAATGAAATAGGATCATTGGGCTCAGCGCCTATAGCTCAA